TACTAAGTTATATTTAAAGACTGATGAAATAAAAGCTGAATAGCTTTTATTTCATCAGTCTTGCTATGTATTAACATTTTCTTTAAAAAAATGCTAAGTATTTTTTTAAAAGAAAATATTAATACATAGCAAGACTGATGAAATAAAACTTTCTTTTAAAAAAATTTTTTTTTTTTTTTAAAGAAAATGTTGAAAATGGCTTTATGAAGTCTGTTTTTTATAACATGTATGCATATACAAAGACACAATAAGCAACTTACTTTTGACATTTTAAGTGCTTTCTACCAACAATGTCACAAGTTAATAAAACCTAGGATTATCAATTACTTTTTTTTTACCAATATGAAATTATATGCAATATAAAATATGTTGATAAAAAAAAACACTTGTTTAAATGTTTTTAATTTGATTTTTAAGTGTTTCGTTGTTTTTAAATGTTGTCCAATATAATTTTTCTTATTAGCTCTTCAAGAAAATTTTATGAAAATTTTTTGGTTGACAAAGCAACAACTAATAGATTGTTTACCTTATGTTATATCTAACTTTAGTGGTTGTTACCCTATGTTTTATCTAGCTTTTGTGATTCTTACCTTATATCTAACTTTTGTGGTTGATACCTTATGTTATATCTAACTGTTGTGATTGTTACCATATGTTATATCTGACTTTAGTTTTACAAAAGTATTAAATATTTTCTGCCAATATTGTTATTTGATTTTATTTTTTCAAAACAAGTTCTCAGTAATTTTTAATAAGCTTGAACTTATTTAACCGATACTTTGAATTATAATTGTATAAAATAAAAAAACATAATAGAAGTCATTCTCTTATGAAAGATTTTCAAGATATTACTTATTACAATAAACAAAAATTAAAAATTGTATAATATATTATTACGACTTAGTTTCTTTGTTTTATTTGAGGTTTTATGTTTTATTAGCTTCAAGAAAAGCTCTCATTAATCAAGAATTCTCATTGACTAGACATTCACTGTTAGCCCAGGCTCCCAGGAAAGGTTAGGCTTTTACGACAAGATTGTTACTTATTTATTTCAAACATCAAAATGCTAATATGTTTTTTTCACTTACTAGCGAGTGATAAAAAAAAGTTTCAATGTCGCTCTTTCTCTGCTCATCAGTTGTTAGATGTAAAAGAATCCACAACTCCGATCATTTTACCACGAACATTATCTGCTGCTTCTATAAAAAAACCTAAAGTTGTAGAAGACGGCTTTGATGTTTACAAAATAGAACAAGGTATTTTTTGCCTTGTAATGTTAAATCTTGAATGTTCTGCAATTAATGTTTATTAGTTTGCCGTAATGTAAGCATTAATTTAAAAATCTTTATTTGTGTTTGCATTTAATCTATACTTTTATTTGTAAGCCGCTGTTAATTCATGTAGGTGATAGTCCGAGACAAGTTTTGTTTAAAGAAAAGTTGCGTGAACTGCAGAAAGAGTTTCCAACAAAGCTCCCTGGAAATGGATTGTTAGAGCTTCTTTCGGCATGTCGAAGCGATGGATTTAAAAGAACTCTTCGCAGGAGTTTATCATCTGAATTTGATGCTGATCACATAACTCCTGAAAAAAAACTAAAAATAGACGTTTCATTAAATGATACTAATGCCACGGATGTTAATTTGGAGTCTAATTCTGATATCCCCATTCAATTTGCAAGGGTTTCATCTGCCGTTCCAGCAATCTACTCGGTTTTAGCTCCATCCTCCCAAAACCAACTAAAAAATTCCGAAAGTCTTTTGCACGATGTTAACACTAAATCTTGTCAAAAAAGTTCTTCTCCAGACTCCAGAAATTTAACGTGTTCAAAGCAATCAATGTCTGTGATAGTCAAGAAACCTTTACTTTCATCGACTGTTGAATCCAGCAATACAAATTATTATCAAGTAGTACCAGTACGATATCCTTGCTCTAATAAAATGCAGCATCATCAATTAGTCCAATTACCAATTGTTTTACAGCAAAAGCCTGTTTGCTTACCTGTTGTGTCTAAAAAGGCGCAACTTATATCTCCCCGTAGTGTTACTTCTTTGAGTAGAGTTTTAATGCAACCTCCTGTAACATCCAGAAACGTAAAGTTTCAAGGTAAATCTGTAATTACTGTTTCCACAAATTCCAAAATTCAATGTATTTCACCAATGGTTACTTTGAATGGAAGCGTCAGTGAAAGAAATTATGTAAGTAAACATTTGCAAAATTACCCTGAGTTATGCACTCCTCCGCAAGTTATAAAGAACGATCCTGATGGAAAACCACTTGCTACACCAATACTTTTCCCTAAAATGACCCCTGAAACTCCTTCAGCAGAGAATATCGTTCCTCATGCCGTCCTTAATACAGTTACTAGAAAATTGATGTCGTTGCATAGCGACAGATAAACAAATTTTTATCAAAATAAAAAGATTTCCCTTCTGTTATTGATCAAATTTTGATAATCTACTTAATATGTTTTATATGAATAGGTAACGAATTTTTATAACAATTTGTTTTTTGTTTTTTATCGTTTTTGTCTCTTTGTTTTTTGTGTTATTTACACAAAACGAATTACGGGATTCAAAAATTATAAAGCTTTAATTCTTAGGGCATCTATAAAGTACTTACGCAGTAAAACCACCGATTTAAGACCCCTTGTACGCAACTGTATGTTTTTAAATACCCAGTCTCTCTTTTTCTCTCTCTCTTTCTCTCTTTGCGCGCTTGCTCATTATTTATTACAAAATCAACTCCCTACCCAACACTTAAATTTTCAATACATTAAAAGCAAAAAAACTTTTAGTTAATTCGACGTATCTATGTTATATTACATAATATAGATATTTTAAACTCACAAAACTCTGTTTTTTTTTTGTTTTGTTTTGTTTTGTTTTTTTAAAGTTTTAGGGAGATAGTTGAACCGCGTGCGTACTCGTTTTTGACACTGTCCCTTCTGTACGCATCCGTACGTTTTTAGGTAACTCTCTATAAAAGTGCTCCTGTCATCCATCCACTGCTGGGGTTGTTAGCAAATCAAACAACCATAAGGCCTTCCTGTAACCATACTTTTGTGAAATCTTGCTCTCGGAAGAATAAAAACTGGTGGTATAGAGTTTCCGATTGTATTTATAATAGCACACATGGTTACAAGTTGCCTTCGTTCAGCTGAGATGATTTGACCAACTTGCTTTTGACCACGCTGAGCTATGACATTTAGCGCCTGCACAACTTGTTTCGTCTATAATAAAGTTGCATTCTGGGAGAAATTTAGACTTACTAAGTACTCTTTCTAAACTGATTTGAAATTCATTCACCTTTTGACGGTTTAAACTTGTTGCTCTCGATAAGCTTGTATTTTCTGGTTTGCGCAAAGAAAGCTTTTTGAGTCTCATCATAAATCCTTTTATCCATTCAATGCCTGCAATTTTATTTTGGCTCTACAGTTATTACGCGAGCTTTCTTTATAACTTCACATTTGACTTATTCCTATTGTCCTTTTTTTTTTTTTTTTTTTTTTTTGTATATGGGTGTTGTTATAAGACTCCATCGTTAAATAAATTAAAATCTGAAAAACTCAGAGGAAGTGAATCAACGTGATTCATTGTAGCTATTTAACTATATTAAACTTATGGCAACGGCTTTTATTCCATTAAATTGAAAATTCTTTTATTCCATTCATGTGAGAATTCTTTGTACTAAATTAATCTCTAGGTAATAATTATTAAAACAATGTTTTGTAATAATTATTGGTTTTCTAAAGATATTTTTACAACTGATTGTCCAAAGAGAATTGGTTGTATTACAATTGTTAATGATAATCAATAACAAATATTGCAAACGATTATTCGAAAGGAAATTGGTTGTGTAATCATTACAACTTTTATTTGCGCTGATTGGGCTGCGTTAGGTGTTCCATAGAGAAACACCATAAGTCACTTAAGATGTTTTTGCAACTCAAAGCTCGTAATCTAAATGAAAGCTCTGACAAATGTGATTTTTTAAACTATTGTTGTTTCTGAAATAACCCGTTTAAATAACCATATACATCAATAGATAATAATTAATAAAACCATAAAAATATTATAAAAACATAATAATAAAATATGGAAAAAAAGTAAAATAATAAATTATATTTTTTAATAAATTATAAAATATAATTTAACATGGATGATTTCTTTCTTTAATAAGATTCTTTTGTAAGAATTAGCGAAAGCTGAATGGTGAGTAAATTTTCTTTGTCTGTTTGTTTTTTTGTTGTTTTTTTTTATTATGGAGTTGTTATACATGCTAGAAGGTCAAAAAAGTTTCAAAAAAATATGGAAAACAAACACTAATAGTAACTTCTGTTTTATTGTGTTAGTAATTCACTAAGTATTGAGAAATATAAATCAAAACGCAGACTCACTGTTATAGCCAACACAACAGTCAACACACCATTAATAGTAAACCAACATGCAGTAAAAAGTATGATCAAACAACTAGACGCAATCACCTCAAGAGTCATACCCGCTGAATGTCAAATAGATAAATAGACCTAGAAGACCAAATCAGCTTCCATAAATTCTATTATAAGCACCCAGGGCACAAAATTTATTGGGATAATACCAACAACCCTTTGTGGAACCAAAATGTCAGAAGAACTCTCAAACTTCCAAAAAAGATCACCAGCAAAATGACATAATTGGCAATATAGCCAAAAAATTTAAAGAACGTAAAATCCAATCAAAGAACATTATTATCCGAGGTATAAACAAATCGACCAAAAGCAACACGATCAAACTGAAATCAATAAAGTACTCGATCTTATTGGAGCTGACAAAAGCAAGCACATAGCTTACTTCCGACTCACTTCTCGTGATTCTGTTGGTAGCCATAACAAAGCAGACCAATAGCCATCACGCTTGCAAACAAAATTCTGTTTCTCCAAGCCCCTGTAAATAAAGCCAACTACACTACATTCTTAATTAAACCTGGCCCTACGCCAGTCAAAAAGAACTTAGCATTACAATTACGCATCAAATACAAAAAATAAAACACATCTCTAAATGCCACATTAACAGTAATGTTGGTAATATAAAGCAACAAAATCAAAAAAATCATCAAAACCAGATAGCTACTAGTCAATTTACATCTCCAATTAACAAAAACGACATCAACAAAGCAATGATGTGGTCACACACATCGCTCATGCCGTTTAATATTGATAAGTGGATAAGTCTTGCAGACTAGTTGCAACAGCAACAAAAAATCAACTGCAATCTACATAATGAACAACGCTGTTGGTTAACTGCACCAGCTATAGTACACAGCATTTGAATGTGATGTAGGTTTTGTAATGGCTAATGATTTAAAATTCAAAAACACTTATTCACGGCCTCATCAGACGGTAAAAGTGCTTTTTGAGACTGTAGTCTTGTATCGTGGAACTCATTGTATATTTCATACATTCGCCCACACTTGGAATTTATAGTACAAGCTATGATAACACCGAGCTACAAAACACATCTTTACTATAAGGTACTTACCCTACACTCAGCGACTATCAAGACTAAACCTGACAATATTAATATAATACAAAATAACTATACAAAACTAACAGCAAAATCAATATAATTAACTTCGCGGTTCTTCAGCGTTAACCAAACTCAACGTCATCAAAATACAATTTTCGAGCTCACAGCCACACTAAATAACTCCAAACACAACTTGTTCAAAACTACGCAAAAAGAAACACTTTCTTCACCAACCGTTTGATCAAACCATGGAGCACGTTAACCCACACGCGGTAAATTCAACAAATATAAATAACTTCAAACATGAACTGTAATAATAAAAACACTTAATTGCAATTTGAAAGCAAAAGACTTTTTTTATTTGTAAGCTAAAGTGTGCATTTTTTAACAGAGCGACCTAGCATGCTGCTCTTCATCAATAATTTGTAAATTTTATTGATTGTGAATAAGATAAATTAAAATATTTATTTGTTCTTTAGGAATATTGGAATTCAAAGTTTGATTAAGTTGTTTAAAATACTAATCAAATGATGTCAAACGCATTTTCAAACTTGAAATTAGAACAAAGACCATACTTTCCCACAATTATTTCAGTTCATTTTTATGTATTTTATTAGTCCATTAGCAACAAAATCAGGAGCAAAAAATTGCAATGATTAGAGTCTGGGAACAAAAATGCGTTTAAAAAAAATCTTTTTTTTTGAAAATTTGTAATTCCCTCAAACTTTGTAATTCCCTCAAATTAAGGGTGTTAAAACTCCCCTCAAATTGAGAGTGTTAAAAATATAAATGTTTCATTGTATTTGTTTTTTAACTTGAACGCAAGAACTCGGTTATATCAGTTTAATTTAACTTAAATTAATGTAAATATTGCAAATTTTTACAAACTCGTTTCAAGACCAAAGAGCTTAAAATTATAAAATCTTAGTGTACGGTGATCAAGGTATCATGATCAAGAATTATTAGCCTATGATAATCAAGGTAAAAAAAATAATTTTTTTTTTTAACATTCTCACTTTCAATAAGGCTACTAGCAACCACTATTAGAGTTAGAAGTTACTGGAAGAGAAAAGATGAAATTTATAAAGCAAGCTAACGGTTTACAAACAACTTAAAAGATTACAAATTAAATCAGAAAACAAGATGAATGGAGCGAATTCCAAAGAACTGATGTTTGAAAAAGAGAGACAGCAACAACAAACCGAGTAAAAATTCTCACTTAGGAATAGTCATAGTAAAAAGATAAGATTAAATTGAATTAAAGATGAGATTAAATTGAATGGCAAATAATACGAGAATGGATTTTAGTAGATGACATTAGAGCGCCCATTATAGTAAAGAAATATAGAAAAGAGAGAATAATATAGAATTTGAGAAAGAGAAAACATTACGACTATGTGATATTGGTTAAAGGTTGGTTGCAAGAGCAGATCTAACTATGTTTACAATGCGTTTTTGCACCTTGTCTAAAAGAGAAAAGGCGTTATTGGAAGTTCCTTTCCAGATTTGGCAAAAGAATTCCATAAAAAGATGGGTTATAGAGATGAAGAATAGAATTCTGAGTAAAAAAGTAGCATGCACGATAAAGAGATTCAACCTTAGCAGATGCTATTTTTGCTAATGAATTTGATATATAGTTTCCAAAAAAGATTGGTTAATCCTAGAAGATGAAGGGCAGATGACTCATCGAGTACATTACTGTTCATAAATATAGGAAGATCTAGATTTTTGCAATAAAAATTAGCTCAAAAAAATTGAGTTTTATCTGATTTAAATTTAACCAGCCACTAAAAGCCCCACGCTATAGCAGAGGTGAGATCCTTTTCAAGCTTAAAGGCTTTTTCCAAGTAATCAGAGAGTGTTGGCTTCTTATAAAGACAAGAAAAAATAGTAGCATGATCAGCGAACAACGCCACCTTAGATGTGAGAATTTCTGGGAGATCGTTTATGTAAATTAAAAAAAGTATAGGACCGAGGATAGAACCTAGAAAAACCC